TCAGGGGGATGGAACACCTCTCCTATGAAGAAAGGCTGAGAGAGTTGGGGTTGTTCAGCCTGGAGAAGAGAAGGCTTTGGGGAGACCTTATTGCAGCCTATCAGTACTTCAAGGGGGCTTATAAAGAAGATGGGGACAAACTTTTTAGCAGGGCCTGTTATGACAGGACAAGGGGGAATGGCTTTAAACTAAAGGGGGGTAGACTGAGCCTAGAGATAAGGAAGAAATTTTTTACGCTGAGGGTGGTGAAACACTGGCACAGGTTTCCCAGAGAGGTGGTGGATGCCCCATGCCTGGAAACATTCCAGGTCAGGTTGGAGGGGGCTCTGAGCAACCTGAGCTAGGTGAAGATGTCCCTGCCCACGGCAGGGGGGTTGGACAAGATGACCTTTAGAGGTCCCTTCCAACCCAAACTATTCTATGATTCTATGAGTGTTTCTGAAACTGTGTCAGGGTTCAGGAGTTCAATGTATCCCAAGGGCAACAAGACAGTCTGGCAGACCTCTTAGCCTTTGAATTGAGTATATTGGAAGTTAGAAACAAGAAGGCACAACTTGGAGAGCCATATTGCAATGATAGTCTCACGTTTTGAGCATCCAAGGGTCTTAGCACAATACCTCAGATACTCAAGGATGGTATGTTACACTTTGTCACTATGTCATTATTCCCAATGAAATCAAGGTCATGGATTATAAGCCTCATTCTGAAGAGCCTGCAGTTTTAAGGACAAGAAAGTCCTTAACTATCCTTAGTTAGATAACTGACATTGCCTCTCTTCCAAATGGATTCTGCCAAGCAGCAAAAGAGTTGGTTAACTTCTGCATTAGGAATATATATTTCCTTAGAACCCTCTGTGTGCCTTTAGTTTTGGCTACAAAGTAAATGTTTAAATAGAAGTAATAATGGGAACATGGATGTAGTGGAAGTAATAATGTGAAATGGTCCCCTTTCCTGCTAGCTGATGAAGTGAAGATACTTCAATGGCATAGTGACACTCCAAGAATTTGTGTTTGATTTCAGTGCAGTTTTAAATAATTATGAATATGCTTACTACAGATTTTGAAGGAAAAATACAAATTTTACTGTTAAAATATTGCAGGAATATATATCACAAAAGTAGAACTAGGAAAAAAGTCTTTTGAATTACAGTTCTAACTAAAAATAGTAATTTTTGACCTCCTTAGTTGTAAAGTTGCTGACTAGCCAGATGTTAAAAATTTGCTGAATAGTTGTCTCTCAGATTACAGAAGAACATTCATTACAGTGATTACACTTGACAGCTACAGATGTCTTAGCTAAATGCTGTCAGACATATAGTCTGCTAAGATATGATGTAGTGCTTGAAATCTCTTTAACTCTTGTTAGCTAGATTACATGATGATACTACCATTACTTCTGCCACATAAGAGAGATTTATTCTGTGACTGTATACAAAAATGTATTTGAAACCTTCAAAGAGACAAGTTTCTATGGGAGGAATTTGGCAGATTGATTTATTATACTTATAAAGCCTCTATTAATGTAGTAGCTGAGTATGCCAGTCTTTACGGTAACTGGCCTCACAATTCATCTGTGAGGTACAGAAGCTGAGTTCACCACAGTTGCATAGGTGAAACTCAGATGTAGGTAGGAACCGACTTTTCTGAAGTCATACTGCAAATTTTAAGAGTAACAGTTACATAAAGTAAATAATCCTTGTCTCATACCCTCAGCTTTAGATTATTCTTCATTTAACACATTGGAAAAGAAAAAAAAAGAAATAAACCTCAAAATGTCTCTAAATGTAAATGTGCGCTTCCTCCAGTAAAGAAAAATACATAGGAATACATAAGAGAGACCTTTTTCTTTGGTTTTTGTTTTTTGGGTTTTGTTTTTGGTTTTGTTTTTTTACTGTAGATCTTTATATATAGAGGTTGAGAAATACAGCCAGAGAATGGATTAATTTGAAGAGGAAAAGGAATGGAGCAGCAATTTCTAGGGTACTTCACAAAGCAGGATTAAAAACAAATCAGCAAGTTCTGGTCTATACACATCTTTTATAATGAAATAAGGAATGTAAGGTAGAGGTGATTTCTATTTGAGTAGTTCAAGCATTGCAAATCTTACTGCTATAAGTGTCTTTCTCCTCTTAGCTAAGTAAGATTGCACCAGTTGACTAAGCCAGGAGATGCCATAAAAAATACTGTGTAATGCATTAGGTTAGAAATCTGACTTACATTCAGCTGGAATCAGTTCTTAGTGGCAGTATGTAATTGATGGCTTTTTGGGGGTTGTTTTTTTTATTTTTTATTTTTCTATCTGGATTCTTAAAGGGAAAACAAAAGAAAAGCATATGCTGCTGGAATGTCTACCACTGTCTGCTGGTACACCCATAAATGCTTTTGAACAGGTTATCCAGTTTCAGCCAAATTTCACTAGTTGAGAGAGACATCAAATGTACAAAAATGCCTGTAAGTTATGTTGAACTTCAGCCCAAGAAAACTTGTATGTTTTCAATCACTGTACTGGATTTTAATGCCAACCTTTTTCTAGCAAACATGTCATCATAAGACTCATTAACAGAATTTCTTTTATGGTTTACAATTTCACAGTAATGAACAAGCATTAATTTACTTTCCTTGGAGACTTTTTATTTTTAGTTGAGCTTTTTTCCATTTATTAACAAACAAAGAAAAAACCACTGATTATTTAAAAAACTCTACAGTTGTCTGATTTGAGATGTAACAGTTGCTGAAGATGAGACATACTGCAATGCTCTGATTTACTGGATGACCCTGATTTAGCTTCGTTCATTTTGGTGGAGAAGATGCAAAGAACAAATTTGTGGGAAAAATTTGTAGATGTAAGGGTAAGAATCTTTCTTTGGGAGTGAGGAGTCCTAATTTGGACCCTTGAAAGAATCCTCGTGAAGTGTGGGAATACTCCCTTTCCACAGACTTAATGGCTGAGAATCTCTCCCAGTCTTACATTTCTACAGTTTACACACAGAGGGACAGAGGTGTGACAAGTTGAAAAAGAGAGAACTTCATGTGGCAAAGAAATACAGTAGAATAAAAAGAGTAATTTCCTCAAGACTGGGAATGGGAGGTAAGATGAGGTCAGAAATTGAATGGAGCTGTAGGCAAACTAACCTGAAAGAACTGCCAGAGGATTTATGTCATCTTTCAAAACCCAAATTCACTTCTGGGTCTAAACCAAACATGAATATTTTAACTTGAAGAAAGCTAAGTGCATCCAAAGTGGGGCCTGCACGAAAGATTAATAAACATGTGGAAAGATCACAAATGGCAAATCAGTTCCCAATTCTAATGAGATGTCATGTTTGCCTTCTATAAATACCTGGGAGTAAATCGTAAATCTTGAGAGTTGAATAAATTTGCAGAAATAATATTTTCAGGCTACATAGTTTGTTAGCTGTCATGAAGACATTGAGAATTTCTACAGTGCAAGTTACATTGTCTGGGAAAGGAGGAATCATAGGGATTATAATTCAATTGAGTTCTTAACCAGAAAGTGGAGTCAGGTATGACTAAGCAACATATTGAAAAAGCTTTTTACTCATGTTAATCTTAAAGTATAGATTCATTTGCATTCTCATGGAGGCCTGGAGCTAATCAAAGTAGAGGGTATATATCTCTATCATTTGACTAATGAGGAGAACAAAAGGTGGGGTGCCTCAGAAGCGATTTGAAAATTAATTTACACACACAGGCATCTGGTAATCCATAACTGTAATAAGGGTGAGACTTCAGAAACGTGCCCTTCTGGAGAAAAGCATTCTCAAGAATATGGTTTAATTAACTCTTGATCACTACACTCTAAAGTAATCTCCAGTTTTTTGTATGTGACGAGGACAAAAGACTCAGGGCAGAGATGTACTTTAAAGTCTCTTTGTAACATTCCATAACTTTGCAAACAAAGTCTTAACACCTTGTTAGAATAAAGTGTGTTTTCATTGTAAGCTTCCCTAATGTTTAAACATGAGGGACTCACCTTTGACAAATTTAACAGTGCTTTTTATTTTTCTGGGTTAATTGAGGAGTGAAAATAAGATGGTATTCTAGCCAGACCTAAAAATTCAGGGTCAATTTGCATATTGCAGGTGTTGGAGCATATTTCTTGCTCACAGACAAGGTCAGTTTGAAATCTGGTATCTTGAAGTGATTGTGCAAAAGAAGGTAAGGAATGGAACAGTGAAGTTGAAAATGTCACAGTGACAGTGATTTTCTGTCTAACTTTTAGAAACTTGGATGCTAGTATTATATACATTCTCAGTCTGATGAATCCTGTTTGTGAGATGTATTTGTCTTTTAGAACAGAATGACCTAGATATCATCAACCTTTTATTTATCAGAACTTTTTACCAGTGATTTGTTAGTTCTTATTGATTGTAGTTTAGTCCGTGAAAAGTGAATTTGATTCTACCAGCCATTGTGTATTCATATCTTCCCAATGATACACTGATTCTGAAGACTCCAGTTATAGCTTCATTTCAGGTTACACCTATGTAGGGAGATTTGAAAGGCCTCTTACACAGTGAAAGAGGTATTAATATTCCAAGTATTTATAAAACCATTATTATTTGCTTCGATTACCTAGTAGATTTTTCTAAGCCTGTATTTTCAAAAGTTGAGACCAGAGTATGGCAAGTGTCACACATTCACCACCAGTTTTTAACATACATAAATAAAGATTTGTCTTTCTCAAAGCTCTCAAATAAGATATAATTCCATATACTGGAATCACTTTATTTTCTTATTCAAGAAAAGGATTTATTAGTACTTTTTCTAAGATGATAATGACTTTTGTGCTGTTTCATTCACAATGTTAGAAGACTGGAAAAAGTGCTTCTCCAAAGCTGGTGGTTGTGTCTTGTAAATATCTTTGGAAATCCTGATGCCAGAAAGGAAACTTTCAATCAAATGACAAAAACTGTATATTCTGGATCAAATGTATGAGAAATCTTTAGCAATCTAAATTTTATTGAAATTCAGAAGTTGAAACAGGGGAATGTAACTGTCAAATTGTTAAAATATCAAATATGGGGATTAAGAACTGTGTGAAAAAAGGTGTAAATTATAAAAAATATCAAATTATCAGATATTTGCTCTGTCACACACCAGATTGTTCATCAGGCTGCTATAGTTATGCAAAATGGAAGGACTGACTTTCTTTACTGTGGAGTCTTTTCATTTTCTTTTTTAAAAGCATTGTTGAACTATGTGGAGATAGAAATAGCCTTTCTAAGGGAAAAAAGTGCCAGGAAAAAAGAAAGGATTTAATCCAGTATTATCTATTTTTGTATGGTACTCTAATATTTAGGCCATAATTTTCCCTTGAGTAGAGAACACTCGGCAGCAGGTAGCAGTGCTAAAAACTGTTAACATAATTTTTTTTTTAAACCTGAAATTGAAATAATTTGCAAATATTGAGATTTCCAGACACATGCTGTAGCTGGTCCTGCAAGAAGTATTATTGTTTTCATCACTGTTGTCTTACTGTTGCTCATGGAGGAGCTTCAGCAACAAGATTATTTTCATTCTGCTAGGTAGAATTACATGGAAAAAATGTTTAGATGACCTAAAACTCATGTTTCTTCCAAATATTTTCAGGTGGTTAGTCTTGACATCAATACCCAGCCTCTTTTTACATAGATTACATGATGAGAGGAGCAGATTCTCAGCAGATGTATGTCGTAGCTGCACTGACTTTAGCATAACTGAGTCTTGTCATCAGCCAGACACTTGTATCATGGTAGTTGAGGTAGCACTATGAAGCTTTACTAAACAAGTATAAAATAATTGATCATGTGCATATAAGTACATAAAAATCCATTTCCTTTCTGGAAAAAAATCACCTGTGCTTGATTCTCAGTCTTTCCTATTGTCTGTTGCTAATAGATACTTCTAGATAACATGTGCTGATTAAATTTTGAGAATGACTGATGCGTATAATCCTTTCATAGCTTGTTGGTGTGGATTGTTGCTTACCACGCTCACTGTTAATTCATTTCTGGTGTATTGAAGTTTGTTCTGCTACTAAGCAATAAGCTATTCAAACTCCGTAGAGTTTATTGTATTTTCATGAATAACAATTTGTACAGTTTTAGAGCTGTTGAACAAATGTAAAATACCATTACTAATTAAAATACTTCAAATGAAGGAAAATCTTTTCTACCATGTGACGGAAGCACAGGCTGAGGGTAATTCATTTTTCATATTTATGCTATTTAGTTTTTTCTGAAGTCCTTCAGATTAGTGATTAGTGATTAGATTAAGCTTCTGGGCAGGGTGTGCTCTCTTTGGAATCTCCCCAACAGCTACTGATAAAGTGATTCCAGGTCACAGCCCATTTCATAAATTACACAGGAAACAAAAATGTCTCTTACCTCTTGGGGATGAACATTTTCTAGAATGTTGCCACAAAGTGAATCCACTTTTATTTCCTTAAACTCTGTAGCATAAGAAAAAATCTAGCCTTATAAATTGAAGAACAGTCAGGGTAATGAAATAAGTGTTTTCTTGTATCTGTTTTCATTACCCATACAATTCTCCTCTGAGTGGTTTTTGTTTGTTTGTGCCACTTTTTGGAAAAGGTTATCCAGGTTATTAAAGCAGGATGCTTCTCTGGTCGTTTTCCACTCAGTAAAATGAGCAAATAATTCCTGTAGCACAAGAAAAATCTAGTGGCACAAGGCTGAAAGAGGTGGCTAAGTTGATGGCTGCCTCTTCTGTTAGTCATGCTTTCCTTGGCACTAACGTAGGAGGAGAGGAGGAAACCTCCCATAAATCCCTCTGCATCTCTCCTCCACTGGGACAGAGATCCTGCACATGGACGTGGGCTGGGATGTCTGCTCAGACCCCGTAGAAACTTGATGGAGAAGCACTGGCAGAATTTGGAATCTCCTTGGCAGAACTCTCTCTTTGTTTTAACAACTAAAGATGGTGATTTTCAATTAAAAATCTTGTAATATACTTTATTTACATATTTTCATTACCTGCGTTGTCATCAAAGAAATGTATTCTTTCATTCAGTTACTTTGCTACTTTTTTGTTTGTTCTATTCCTAATCAGCCTTTCTCATCTCCTGGGTAAACATGTAGTTTTCTCACATCTTTGAAGAGTGACACACTGTCTTTTGTAATGCTGAGCTTGGAACTTTAACCCAAAGTAGCACTCAGTATAAAATGAAAATTAGTATGAAAATGTACAAATTGTGTTGGAATTTGCAGAAATTAGAACATCATTGTACAATTAAATTTCCATTTTGCCATTTTTCCTGTAAACAATTACAAATTACTTGAAAACAGACTAAATTCTTCCATTTAATTGTTGAGCTCCTCTATTAGAAAAGAACAGTGGCTTTAAATGCTACGAGACAGAAAGTAATATTTCAAAACTTTGATCATCATGTGATCATCATGTGATGTTGATAGGTTGCCTTAGTGAGTGGCCTGTACACATTTCTAAGTGTGATCTAAAAGAATATCCTTAATAGCAATAAAATCTGGAAATTCTGTTATAACTCTGACCTTTCTTATACTTTCATTTAAAATTTTTTTCATAATACAAACATGGTGTGGATTTATAATGCCAAAACATAAGAATTAGCTGATAAAGGCAAATAAATTAGTACAATTACATTTTCTCTCTAAATACAAGTATTTCTGCTTTCCAAAGATGAATCTGTCACATAGAAATTAATAGACAGCTAGTGTGAAGGAACTGTGCTAAAAATGAACAGAAAGAAAAAAATAACAAAAACCCAATTGTACTAAGAAACCCCTGTCTTACATCAAAAGCCAACCATTTGTAATGTGATACCAGCAACCACCATGTTCTGATATAAAGCAAATTATAGATGTCAAAAAATGAACTTCTGATGTTTGCAGGCTAAGGATTCTTTTGTATAAAATTTTAGAGTTTTTGTAGCACTTTTCTATGTTCACAATGAGTTTTTTGTAACAATCAGTTTTCAAGTAATAAGAACTCTTAATCTTGGTTTAAATGGACTCAGTAACAACTCTCACACTTAAGTCAACAGGTTTATAAACAGGCACCTAAAATAGTTCTGTTATATTTGACACTGAAATTAAGTTTTTTCCATTTGTTTTCCTCTTGTTTCAGGAGCGTACAAGTTGAGAAATTAGAAGTGGATCCCAGTAAATATTCATTCCCTGATGTTACAAAGATAATCCAAAAAAAGGAACGAATTGGACAGGGACCTATTAGGCTACAACCGGAGAAGATTACAGAAACTAAGAAGAGTTATGTTGATTTTGAAAATAATGAAGATGTTCCTCCCTTAATTTGAAACGTTCTTAAATAGTCCCTCTATATGTGGCATTTATGCCTGAGTTGTTTTCATGACCCCATGTGTAAAGTAAGTATAATATAGTTGAAGTTGGAAATATTATTACAGATCTTATCATAAACTTTGATATGCCTCTGTTTTCCGCTGCGTTTTCTGTTAGTATATTGCTATATAAATCCTTTTGTTCTAGTTTGTTTATTTAGTAAGTCTCAAATCATAATGGGAGTCATATAAGTCAGACATTGTAGTTTCTTCAAAGAATCTGCTGTCTAGCTTGAAAGATGACATATTACTATAGCAAAAGAGAGAAGGAAGGAAAAAGCACTTGTAACAAGATTTATGATTATTCTGACTAAACCGAAGATAGCAAAAATCTCTATATATTCCTTCAGTGTTTTCTTTTTCATGAAGGACAACAGTAAAAGAAAACAATGTATTCTGGGAGTGAGAGACATTGCTGTAACCTACCATACATCGGTGAATTTTCCAGCATAATGGAGAGCTCCTGGATTCTGGAGCTGGTATAACAATGCCACTGCTTGAAGATTTTGGGAGAGAATAATGCTGAACACGGTATCTCAGATGTGGCACCATGCAGAAGCTGGGAGAAATCAGCCAGACCATTCTTGTTCCTCTTCATAGAGCTACTCTAAACTATTCCATCTTTTTCAGGATCCCATAAAAATATCAAGGCTAGTTTTTAGCTGTTGGATGGAATCAGGTTGAGCAGCTGTAATGGGATGAGATGCTCCTTCCCTACCCTCCAGCCCTTTTTTAGCAACTAGAGACTCCATTATCATATTTTTTCCCCTCAGCTTCTGGATTGCCCCATGAGTGAAACAGGCAGCATCAAAGAACAAATGTATAGTGGGTTATATTAGAAAATTATTGCGATTTGGCAAGACCAAATTTCTTTTGTTTTTCTTTTTTTTTTTTTGTCTAGTTTCCTGAGAAAACAAGGCTCATGTCATTCTTATCTCAGCTCTGCTTTTGAATGCCATTTCTATTATTTTCACCCTATTTGATGGAAGAGAAAGGTCACAGAAATACTCAGCTCCTCTAAATTTAGGGAAAACCGTCACTGAGTAGTAAAAAGCGATTCTCTTGGTGCAAGGGCTGTTTGGAAGAGAGAACTCAGCCGTTACCTATTCTAGCAGTAGTCACTCAGCTAATCAACATGTTGGTAACTGAACTCTTTGTGCATGTTAGCATTCTTGCCTAGGTGATAGTTAAAGAAAATAGGAGTCATGATGGTAGGGCTCTGGAAACCTGGGGAAAGCTGAGGAGAGTGTAGGAAGTATTTAGGAAATATAGTTAGACCTTGAGTTACTATGGAAGCAAAAGGTGGATATTGAGAAGACAGTGGAAATTTGCAGAGGGAGGGTCGCAACAAATATTTCTGGCTTGGGTGGGTGTTGAAATGGGGAATATGTAGGGGACATATGACATAAAACCATAGGAAATCAAGCCTTGTTAGCCCTGGTGTCTACAAAACAGTTGATGTAAGGATATATATGTGCTTGAATGTCTCTTTTGGCCTTTTAGTTGGGCAATTAGCATTCAGTTCTATAGTAAAAAAAGGTACCTTTGTTTTTTTACCAATTTTAAGGCCACAGTTATTTCAAAGAACAAAGAGAAACTCCAAGCAAAAAGCAAATTGAGTGACCTACATTACCTTGCTAACAAATTCGAAACTGTTTCTCTGTAAAGGAAGACTTCATTTGGTCCTGCAGAAAGAAAATGCTTCTGATTCAAACCAGCTTTTGCTTCTAGCTAAATGGGATAGAGCAAGCAAATTCAACTCAGGAAGAATCAAAGAAAATTTTGTAGTTACATCTTGTTTTCTTTCTGAACATAGAAAATGAATAAGCTGCACTTACAATGGAACCACTAAAACTCCACTTAAAATATGTTGTTTAAGTAGCAATCTATGTTACAGTAGTGCCCATAATATCTCTCACATATTCAAGTTCATGATACATTCTTTGGAAGTGCTGTTTTCCTAATTGTGAAAAGCATCATGCAAAAACCTCAGCAGTTAGAAAGAAAATATTGCTATCGAATTCTGGGATTTTTTAGCCACTCTAAAGTGCTTTATGATTCTCCACACATGTTTAATGTACGATAAAGATAAATAGTCTTTCTTAAAGTGCACTGAAGAGAAGCAGAATATATCCATCAACTTAGGCTCATGGGTTGAACTGATGCATTTTCTTCAGTTGCAATTTAAATGGATATAGGATAAAAAAATGAAGTTTCATACTAATGCTGCATATACTGAGAGCTGAAAAGAAAATGTATATATCACAAAGACATAAACCAAAGTTGAATTTGGGCATCATCTGATCTATTGTGGTATCATCTTGGATTTTTCTTTTCCCATCTTGTGCGCTGACTTGATCTTTCCAATTCCAGAGTAAATTCTTCCATTATATAAGCGTCTCAGCCCTGAAATCTACTTAATCAGCTCTACTCTGGTAAATGGAGTATAAAAACATCAACTTCTTTTGCAATATACTCCTATTCAGTATAAATTCCTAATCATGCCGGTTAACTATGAAAAAGATGGTATTATGTTTTACCTCTTGGTGTCACCAAATAGTTATATGCCCATAAGGATGAGTATAGATCATTTTCTGTATTGCACATCAAAACATCTACATTTGACATTGTACAGGGTGTCCGTGCCCAGGTTTTGGCAGCGGGGACTGCAGGGGAGGCCTCAGTGAGGAGAGGCCGGGGCTGCCCCGTGCCGGACACAGCCGCCGGTCCCAGCCGGCTCCAAGGGCCCCACCGCAGGACACGGCTGAGCCCCTCGGCCAAGCTGGGGGCGGCCTGGGGGAAAAGAGGTGCCAGAAAGGGCAAAAGGCGGCACAGGCAGAGGAGGAGGAAGCCAAGGAGGGAGCAGCAGCAGAGGGACCCTGAGGCCGGAGGAGGAGGAGGAGGGCGGGAGGTGCTGCAGGCCCGGAGCAGGGATCCCCTGCGGCCCTGGAGAGACCCCGCTGGAGCAGAGACCCACCCTGCAGCCCGGGGAGGGCCCAAGGGTCCTAAAAGTCTTTGCTGTTTTATGTAACTGTGTAGGCCTAGTAGGAAAACAGACAACAGATAATATAATTTTTAGCAGTCAGATGGGTGATTTATGTTTTGATTCCTTTCAAGTCCACTTCCTTTTTTTTGTGAAGTATGAATTTTGCTGACCTTGGGATGGGTGAAGAGGAAAGGCTCCACAACCTTTTTGAAGGTAAAAATCAGTAGATTTTAGCAGTAGATTGGCAGCAGATCAAAAAATTTGTTTCCTGTAGTTTTATTGATTGCTGTGGTGATTTTCTGACGTTTCTAAGAGGTGAACACATTGAAGGCCTTCCTCTTTTTCTTCATTGCTTATTTCTGAAAATCTTGTAGGGACAAACCACCTTTCAGACCTTCAGCCAGTTTGGATAAACCTGTCAAGAATTTCAGAAGGTTGAGGAAAACAGGCATCCATACAGCCTGGTCATATAAGATTATTTTATTTTTTCCCAAGCAGAGAGCTATAAAATTTGACCTCTGCTGTCAAACCAAAGGATAATACAATTGGATCTTTCCCCATTCCAACTCAGTTCTCTTTTTCATCTGGTTTCTAGTGGATAGGTAATGCTCTGTTTTGGGGGAAAAAAAAAAAGCTGTACTGAGCTAGAGTTACATGTCATAAGAAAATTAATAGTAGGTGCCAAAAGGTACTTGGAACTACTGAAGAAAGAGTTGTTTCACATGGTACCATAATCTTGGGATTCAATCTGAAAATGGAGTCTATTCTGAGAATCAGCCTCAATAAAATTCTCAATTTGTGTGTGGGCTGTGGAGAATACAAGCAGAGATTGACCACAGAGGTACGAAGTCCTCTGATCACAAGCACAAGATGATACCAGTGGCCCACAAGAGAACAAAGACACTTCACAAAGTATCAATTCCTGATCACTTAAGGTAATGCAACCTTGAGAAAAGAAGACAAGAAAGAGGACAAAGAACACACAGCCAACAGAGATGAAATATCCCCTGTATAGTGAAAATGCAAAGAAGATGACAAAAGGAATAAAAGAGAGTCACAGCCCTCACAAGAAAAAGGAAGAGCAAGGAAGGAAGAATAGCACCAGCATTGTGTCCCCCGGTTAAGGACATTACAGCTGATCAAAGCTGTTGTGCATCTGCAGCAGGTTGCTCCTACCTATACAGAAAAAAAAAGCTGCTTTTTGATTTGCCACTTGCCTCATTCTGCCACTGCCAACTCAGCAATTGTATGTACAGCATTATCTCTTACTATGTAATTGGGTTAAGTAGATTAAAATTTCAGAGAGCACTGTGTGTGTGAGTGTATGTATTGAGATATTTCACCTCTAACTAGATGACTGGGTGTATTTAAGCAGTGTGCAGTGGATGGATCTATTCATTGTCCAGTCGACAGGAGATGGATGGGGTTAATGACAAATTCTAGCGGTGCTGAGAGGAAAGAGGATGTACAATGGTTCAGGAAGGCCCTTGGATTTGCCACAAATCTTCCCCTTGCTCTAAAACCGGGTGATGGGATGTAACTTTTGGATTTGCACACTCAAAACAAGAGAGTTTTGTTGATGCACAAGACAGAAGGAGTCTGGTTCCTCCCAGAGCTAAGTTGATTCAGCTGGGTCAAAAAAAAGCAAAAAGCAGAGGAGAATCTGTTACACTGACAGTGTGAAGCTATACTGCAGTTACAATTACAGCTGGATTGCAGAACAACACACACTAAAATAGCAAAGCTTGATTCAAAACTGCCTTTTATCTTACAGTCTTAGACGCTCAGTGCGGATATCTGAATATACCCAGTATGGGTAACAGTAACGGACATGCAGAATATGCTTTCCCACTGCATGTTTCAAATGATAATTCCCATAAGGACAACGCTGGTGAGTAGCAAATACATTTCTTACTGGTTAATGAATAGTGAAAGAAAGCCATAGGGTAGCCTGAGCATTAGTCTTTTTCTGAACAGTTGCTGAAGACCAGGTGTTAGCTGTCAAAGCTAGACTGTGTTTGTAACTGTAACTTCACCCAAACAAAATCACAGTATCACAGACCGGTTCAGGTTGGAAGGGACCTCTGGAGGTCATCTGGTCCAACCCCCC